ACGTTCCCTGGCACTCCACTACCTGTTTTCACAGGCACTACTGCTTGTAAAAAAACAGGGGTTATTGACTCCAGAACCATCTGAGCACATGTTTGATGGTCTGCTTCAAGCTGTCTGGTCTCAGAGGCACTTAACCCATCTAATGTCTCCATTTTGGACATCAAAATGCCGTTTGCTGAGCGAATTGAGATGATTCTGGATCTTTCAAGGGGCTATTCCCAGGGATATTTTTAGTCCCTGTGCAATATACTTTCATTGTTTAATTCTTATCCTCCCCAAATCTACTTCACCTCTAGAGCAAATCACCATCTTTCACCCATTTTTCTCTTCTTCTTCTTTGTCCCTTCTCATGTCAGGAAAAAGAGACAATACTTCATCTTTCTCTTCCAGGTTTAATTTTTGCACAGAATGAAGGGCTCTTCAGATTTCTCTCTCCCTGTTTTGTAGTTGGCCTCTTCTACCTGGGCTAACTGAAAACCATTAAAAGTATCAAGTGATTCACAACCAGCACTTGACAGAAATAAAGTCACCTCCTGACTGCCTTCCATTCTCTGGTGGCATCCACGGTTTTCAAAAGCAGGCAAGTACTGCTTAATATATCTCCCTCTTTCTCCTTCATTTTCCAAGATTTTTGATTCTAGTGGGTCTCTTAAATGTTCTACTCTTCACCTACAAAGTGTTTATTTCTTTTGCTTTGTTCTAAGTATCACGAGCTGCTCAGAGACCCATCAGGTGTGAGTAGCTTGGCACAGGTTAGACTTTTCCCTTGGTGTCCAAACTCTCAGCTCTGCAAAGCAAAGGGGATAATATGGATTAACAAACTCATCCCAGAGATCTGTGGTGAGGACAGAGGTCCCCACAGCTGATGAAGATGAAAACCACGAGCACCACACTGGGCGTACAGACCAGCGTCACATCAACACCCAACAACTTCTTGGGGGAGATAAATCACAGCTCTACCTGGAAGAAATAAAGTAGAGATTTCCCTCCATCTCACCTCAGCCTGAAGGTGTGAATGAGCATGTGATGGTCATCACATCTAGCACAGGAATATAGGGAAATGACCCATCAGGACATCTGCTGCTCTTCCCTACATAAGGTCCCCAGCCCACCCCTCACTCTGCTGCCTCCACTCCTCTCTGCTCCCCAAACCCACCTTTTGTAATGCAAAATAACAACAGGCCTTGTTCTCTGCCTTGCCTGCTTTTCATCTGAATTAGAACTCTGCTAATCTCATTAATGAGCTCACCCTGGTGCCACCGTGTTCTTTGGATGCCCCCTAACATCATTAGGGACTTATCCAGGGAAACAAAAGGACATTACTCCATGCAGGGAATGAAGAATTAGTGCAAAGGTGGGGGGTGCTTTGCAATTGTCCCCCTAATCACTTGTTTGTGTGCAATTGGTGGCTTTAATCTCCATCTCATTGCCACTGCAGCAGTTTGCAAGTGTGGGTTTGGGTGTCTGCAGAGGTGCAGAGACATGCAGGGGACAGCAGGACACAGGTCAGGGGTGCACCAAAAGAGGTGAAATGTGTTCAGAGGACACGAAAGTGGAGTGAAGAGGTCTCAGAGTGGGCACAAACCAAAATATTTCAGCCTATCATCAGCTGGGGTGTCAATCAGTGACAGAGCAGAGCTAACAAGGAGGCCTTGGAAGGGACAACAGAGCTTCAGACCATCCTCCCAAGGGACACACCTGGGTACAGCTGAGCAGGAACATATGTAAGGAACATATGGGAGAATTTCTTCACAGAAAGGGTTGTCAAGGATTGGAAGGGGCTGCCCAGGGAGGTGGTGGAGTCTCCACCCCTGGAGGTGTTCAAGAAATCACCAGTGCTCTGGTCCAGTTGACAAGGTGGAGATCGGCCACAGGTTGGACTTGATGATCCTGGAGGCCTTTTCCAAACTAAATGATGGGGTTTATTTATGTCCCTTTTCCTTTTTAAAAAAGAAAAAAAATAATAGGAAGGATATTGAATATCAAGGAAAAAGAGGGGAAAATAGAGTCAAAGAAGGAAAAGCCTTTTTTTACACCACTTTAACAAATTCACCTGGTTAAATCACTATCCTGATATGTCACTGAGCTTCCAATTTTAATACAGTTTGACAAGCACTTCTGTGAGCAGAAGCCACAAAGTTTGGTTTCTTACAGAGATTAGTCCCATGGTTGGGTTATCTCACATCTAATAGTGTCTGAATGTACTTTTCCAGTACTCTCAGCCTGGAGAAGAGAAGACTACAGGGAGACCTTAGAGAAGCCTTTTAGTACCTAAGCGTACAAGAAGGTTGAACATGGACTTTCACAAGGGCATGGAATGAAAGGACAAAGAGCAGTGGCCTTAAATTGAGGGAGGACAGAGTTAAATTAGACATTAGGAAGAAATTTTTTACTCTAAGGGTGGTGAGACACTGGCACAGGTTGCCCAGAGAGGTTGTCAACTCCCCATCCCTGAAATGTCCAAGGCCAACCTGGAGGGGCTTGGAGCAGCCTGGTCTAGTGGAAGGTGTCCATGCCCATGGCAGGGGATGGAACTGGATGATCTTTAAGGTCCCTTCCAAGTCAAACCATTCTATGATCCATGATTCTCCCCAGCAGTACCACTGAATACATCAATACCAGCTTTCATTCCTTTTCAGCTCCTAATTTTCCCAGGGCCACACCGTGTGATTGCCCCTAATACCTACTGGGGAAAGATGCAACACAATTTGATCCATCTGGTGGCCAAAAAGGAAAGCTTATCCAATGTCATATAATCAAACACTGGTATCCATATGCCCATCCAACCCTGCTGTTCCCATCTAATCCAGTGACGTTCAGCTGTTTCTACCACTGACAACTCTGAAAAAAAAATCCTCTTCATCTCCTTCTCTCTTTTTTCTTTGAGATTATTTGTTCCTCCTTATTCTTTCAGATAACTTGAGAAAGGAAGTTTCTTCATATCTCACCAGATTTGGAACAATGCAGATGAAAATGTTTTTCTCTTTCAGTCTCTCCTCCTGAGAGACCTCCTGGGGGCCCTTACAGTCGTTCATCTCCAAGCTTCTGGTGGCATCTCCTTGGGGCAAAGAAGAGGGAAGAGATCCTGTGTTTTGCTGTTGAGATCAAGCCTGAAGAAGTGAGGCATCCCACCACTGATCCACTACAACCCAACTTCTTGTTTCCAGTCTGATCTTCCCAGAACCCTGCATATTGGATTTTTATTATTATTTTAGGGCCTGCTCCCAGGACACAAGTGTATTTGTCACTCAGTGGGGCTGCCAGCATCAAACACTTCAGTATTAATGTTGCTTCATCTCAGAAGTGAAACTGTGGAGTGGTGGAGTGTGGTTTTTATTGAGTTTCTGGGTTTGATCTGTCAGGGCTCTGTGATGAGGGGAATGTGTGTGGCTTTGGTTGAGATCAGAACCACAGCAGTATTTTGTGTATTGATTAACTGAGGGAATTGCTCTGGCTTGGCTTTATAGCCCATTGTAGAGGAGTTTCCACACTACAGTCTCATGAAGGTTTGCAATTTTGGGGTAGCAGTGATCAAAGCAAGCTTGTTTTAGCCAGAATTTTAAATGGAAGATCCCCAACGCATCTCTCCTTATAATCAAACATATGGGTTTATAATTTTGGGAAATTTTGATCCCTGGGACAATTTCTCTAGAGTTCTTCATGGTATAAGAAACAGTCAGTGTTTTTTTCAGTGTAGTTATTTATGTGGGTACTTCTTGCAGTAGTTTGTTAGTCAATGCTTAGCTCTTCAGGTGGTTTCCTTTATATTCTAAAACAATATGGAGATGTAAACTTGCCATGAGTTCAGTATCAGCCTGACTACAGTAAAATGTTTGAGAGAGTTTTTTTCTGAGAGTTCATGATGCCTTGTGAATTCAACTGAGAATAGATTTGAAAAAAATTAATAAAACTCCTAAAATCACCAACTTCTTCCTCAGTTTTCCATCCATGAAGGGAGCTTCACAAACAACTAATCCAGAATTTGGCACAGAAATCTTGGAGGGGAAAAGGCAAGAGGGAAGAGAGGAGGGACAGAGAGAAAGATGTGTCTGTCTCCAGTGTGGTGGGATGGACATATCAACATTAGAGTAAATGGTGAGCAGTTAAGCCATCAAAACACAGCTGTAAGTGGGAGGTAGGTCTACTAAAGTCAATTCTTCTTCTGGTGGAGAGGCATGATATGTACCTGGGAGCATATGGAATGTCACAGACCATTTTAGGATGTGTTTAGAGGTCTGGGGATCCATAGGGGGTGTGCACACCCAAAGGGATGTGAGCGTGGCACAGCTCAGACACTCTGTACACAGACAGTCTGAAGAATATGCTTTTCTTTATTCAAGCTACAATTATGTTGCCCCTCTCCAGTTCCTCTCCAAGTGCCCCCTCCCTCCTGAGACAGTGCATTAAAGCGTGGGAAAAGTGATACTTAACACTGAAATTCATCATTAATTCCTCCGTCTTTTATTGTCGTAACATGAGCCATAATGAACTCTTCCTGCACTGATGTCCATTTGGTGTGTCACTTTCCCTGGAAGTGCTTCATAACTTAGCATTAATTAATGGTGACTTGCTGCAAATTGTGTTACAGAGCTGATAGCACTTCTGGGTAACTAAGTGTCACCAACTGCAGTCATCAAACTTGCCGCGGTCGCCGGGCGTCGTGCAGGATTAGCTGCTGGATCGCACACCAAGACATCCCTTTTGGATCTTTCCGAGGAAAGGAAGGAAAGTTCATGGCTTGGGAATTTAACCTGGTTTAATTCTCAGCTCTGCAATCGACCTCCAGCATGGCCTTGGGCAAATCAATGAAGGCATTTGGACCATTCCAGGGAGCCACAGCTGTGGCTGCAGGAGGACTGGGGGAGGTTGTAACCCCAGGGGTTGAGTGGTTCAGCCCTGTCCATGAGCCACCCTTCTCCTCCCCGGAGCTGGCTGCACTTCCATGATGTCTGCAAAGTTCTTCCCAGTTGGAAAGGTGCTGTAGACATCAAGGTGTCTGCACTTCGTGGAGCTTTGACTTCCAAAGGATCTGCCTGACTTTGCTCACCCGGACTTTGATATGTGGCTGTTCACTCCCAAATCCAGCTGGGTGCAAGTCCTTCACTGGCAGCTCAGTCAGGGGAGTTTGCCCTGAAGTTACACAGAGAGAATAGCAGAGTCACAGAATGATTTGGGTTGGAAGGGACCTTAAATTTATCATCTCATTCCAACCCCCTGCCATGGGAAGGGACACCTTCCACTATTCCAGGTTGCTCAGAATCCCATCGAGCCTGTCCTTGAAGCAGCTCCTGAGGGACAGATGGCATCCACCCTGTAGCAGCAGTGGTCAGTTATGACCTGTACTACCATCTCTCTGTGTCTACCACGGTGACAAATCCACAGCTTTATGCTGACTGCACACCTGTGGGGCTGTGTTAATTCTGCTGCTCTCCTGACTTCCAGAACAAGGTGCCCTCATCCAAACGGATAATCACGAACGGCGTTTGGCCTTTGCCGACAATTTAGATTTCGTAGTGCTGAGACCCACGACCCAGAACTATTAAATTTATTAGAGTAGATAAAAACTGTGTCCAAGAGAAAAGGACCACCAAAATGCTACACACAGTCCTGCAAGAGTGAAATACTGACAACTCTCTGAGTGTACTACTCTATGCCGGAAAGCAGGAGCACGAGCACAAGCGATCCAGCTGTCTGGATACACATCAAAACCCTTCCAAGGTCAGGTTCTGGTGCTTTCCTGAGCTGTCTTCACCACTGACAGATTTATTTCCTTCAGACCCCTTTGTCACCAACACGGTTCAGATCACTCAAAAAAAAAAACCAATAGGATTTTACTCCAGAAGGCAAAAAGTCACATTTGGCTGGTTATTGAAGGAGGCTGAAGGGAAAAGCTCGTTTGTAACATCTACAGGCTAAGACTTGGGTTAGAGATGGAGACACCCACATTTAGGTGTCTCTCTGTAGGTATCTCTGCTGAGCTGCTTGTTTGAGCTCTTGGGGTGGCCACTGGAGACTTGGTTGATGGTGTAGAGTCTGACTATAGAACAACTTACCTAAGACTAAAAGATAAAATAAGAGGCCAACTTTCATCAGCAATACGAAAGATAGTAAGAGAAAAAGAAGTTTAATTTTTTCTAAGTTAGAAAAATCTGTTTATCAGATTGAACTGTGCCTTTTGGCTTAAGAAGACTGAGGCTCCAGCCCCAAATTTAGCACTGCTGTGTAGTTTAAATATAATATAATGCTAAACAGGTCTGTTTTCCTCTGAGAAGGGACTCAAACATCCTCTTCACAGATATTAAAAATGCAGGGACAGGCTGGTGTTTAATGAGTTCACTTGCAAGGTACTAAAGTCGGCTACCACCTGTCAGTGTCTTCAGATGTGCTCCTCAGCCTTAATTAAGAGCTGCTCTCTGTTTAATTTCATTCCTTCTCTCCCCAGCCCCACCTACCTCCTTCCTCCCTCTTTGGTTTGCCCTGTTTCAGAAGACAGAAACCAGCCCCAGAGAGATTCCTTCCAAAGTCAATCAAAAATTAATTTCAGGTGGCAGCTGAGTCACAACTTCTCATTTATCCATCAAAGTCTGGTGAATTCTCAATCTTCTAATCACAGAATAGCAGAATCATGGAATCATTCAGGTTGGAAGAAACCTCTAAGATCATGGAGTCCAATCATGTCCTCAGTTGTCAACTCAACCCCATCATCACCATCATTAAATTGTAGACAACCAAAACATTCCTAAATATACAAGGATGCCCCAGTGCCTCTCCTTGCCTGCCTTGTCCCTTCTGAAGAGTTTATTGCCATCCATTGCAGCATTCCAGTTGAGTGAGTGATCCCATCATGTTTCCATGATGTTTGTCATCCTTTTCCACGGTGCTTCCAGCCCCTCCTGTTTGCTGCCCATCAGTGGGACAAAAGCAGCCAGCCAAGCATGCAAATCAGATTAACAATTCGCACCTTTGTGAAAGGGATTAGCTGCTCTGCCTGCTGTGGATGCTCGAAGAAATCAATCTGCATCTGTCAAAACCTGTAACCTTACTTGTGTCCCTGACTCCATACTTGGGTTGGTTAAGATAATAATAATTAATTAACAGCCTGCTTTAGATTGCATCTTCTCCCGTATGGGATTAATCTTGTATTTCCTTAGGGAGCTGATTTTCCAGGCTGGCTGTGAATTTATTCTTTGCTGCTGTAATACATGATGGTGTTTGCATGCTTTCAGGGTCACAGCTACAGCCGGGAAAGCATCGGAGTTAAAGCAGTGGAGCCGGTTTAGGATTGTGTCCAAATCCCATAAATGCCACATGTGACTTCAGATAAGTCACTTAATCACCCTTTTTCACACCCTATATTTACCAGATCAGTCAAGGCAAGCGGATTTACAGGGATGATTCATCCCAAAAAAAGGGCCAAGGGACATAGCTTCTATTCCTGACTCCACTCTGAAACTTCAGAAAAGTCACTTTACTCACACCATCTTGACTTCCCAACTGCAGAGGGAGGGCAGCATCTACTCACTGCTAAAACCTGAGGGACAGCCCTCAACCAAGACACTCTCTCACAGATATTCCCAGCCTTTGGAGAGGTCAGCTTTCTGGATGGTGGCTTTGCAGTGGGATATCATGCCTCTGATTTCAAGGAGGGAGGTGTCACCTGCGGGGGACAGCTCTAAATTGTCAGTTCCCCTGAGTAATGATTAGGTTTGAATTAAGCCTTTTGTACTACAGGTAGGGATAAGCCTGAACTTCTACAAAGTGGAAGTAAACTCTTCTCTGGGAAACCGTCTCCTGCACGTGGTAAGGAGGAAGGGATGAATAAACCACATAAAACTCACAGCAACACCTGCAGTGCACTGTGTGGTGATACTGCAAAGAGGAGTCTCTCCAAGCCCCATTTCCAAAAAAACCCAAGACAATTATTTCATTAACTGAGATAATTAACTGAAGTATTTTGGCAAAACAATTAAATTTTCTGTACCAATGAGCTCTCCCTCTTTTTGCTTCACTGTTGACCTTGGCAGAACAATCCCCCCAATAGTAAGACAGCAACCCTGCTTGGGAGGTGCAATCTCCTTTTTCCTATGCCCTCTTGGTGACAACCAGTTTGAGGCCAGAAAATGTCATCTTCCACAGCACAGTATCCCATACCTTGCAAAGCTTTTCCCCATGGAAAGAGTGGAAAAAGGAAAAGTGGAGGGAGAGACAGGGAAATGCCTGTGTGGTGTCCAGTGTGTTTCTTCAGGTGCCAAAGGGAAAATCTCCACTATCCTACTCCCCCATCCCCATTTTTCCTTCTTACTGTAGCCACCCAGTACAAAACCTCCAAGATCTCCTGCTCTTTACCATGGTGGTCAAAATACAGAGGCCCAGGGATGTGAACTACACCAGCCTTTGAGATACCCATCCTAGGACTTCTGAGTTACCTCACAGGTTTCCAGGTAAGACTTTCTGCATTTCCATTCCACCTGGTGTAGAGTGGGGTGGCAGAAAAAGGCTGAGCAGCCTCTTTGGAGATACTCTTGGCATAAGGAATGGTCTTGATGGTGGAGTCTGGAGCTCATCACCATCAAATTTACCCCATGTCTCTTTAGACACTTTGGGTGAGGGAACTCTGCAGCACATCCTTGTGGTGGCTGGGCACATCCTTGGCCGCACAGCAAGTTTTCTTTTCCAATGTGTGCATAACATTTCCATCAGAAGTTCATTTTCTGTGTATTTAAGCTTTCAGCCTCTCCACTCAAGGTCTCAGCTGCAGTGCTGAATTCCTAAAATCACCTGAACAGTCCCAAATCCTCTGCTTCCTCTTCTTCCATGACACCCTCCCAAAGGAAGACTTGTTTCAAGCATCTCACATACCAGGAAGAGTAGACAGGGAAATTCAGCTCCATGGTGCTGCTTTTCCATGAAAACAACACCCACCACCTCCTGTTTCAGCCCGACTATTGGTGCCTTTTTGTCCTCTATTTCCTCCCAGAAGGATCCAGACAGTGTTGCAATTGAAGTTATCACAAGCCTGACTTTTCTGGCCTTGAACCTTTCTGCATGCCAGTGACAAGACCATCTTCTTCCTCTTACCACCAGCTGGTCCTGTTGGCCTGGGATCAGCAAGGATCTGCTCCTTGATACACACATGTGGCTTCTAGAATGTGTGTTCACCTTCATCTGCAGACACAGAGTGAACCTGCAGCAAGACAAAGTTGGAATGGGGTGGAAATGCTGGAGGAAAAGGGGCAGAGCAGGATTTGTGATGACAAAATTGTAACTTGGGTCAGACATCAGGGAAAAGCAGAGGCCTGAGGGAAGTCCTGGGCATACTCACACACCCCAGCAGCTCCTGAGACTACTTAGACCTTGTCAAGCAAGGAATGACATCTCCCTTTGAGCAAATGTCTGTCTCTGGAGCCCCGGTGACGGCCCGTCCGTGTCCATCCATTAAGCAGTTTGTTATTGTGACAGATGACACGGTGATTGCTTGGTATGAATTGCAATTACTGTCCAAGCACAAGGGATCTAAACTTATAAACAGGCAGCTTTAACTAACCAACAATTCTGCTCAGAGGGACAGGTCTCCTCCTGGGAGTAAAAGGCTCCTGAGATTCCCATAGCTCCTATTCCAAAAAGGGATGTGTGCCTGGACAACAGCAGGGCTGGGCTTTTGTAGGAAGAATGCTCAGGTGTTAAACAGAGAGGATATTTTTATTTGTTCCTTTGCCAAGCACTGAGAGAAACAGGAGTACTCCTGGACTGGAGCCACCCCGCTCAATTACCCCACAGGCAAACAGGGAAGGTCTCCCCCACATCCTTTCCCCACACTGAGGGAATCAGATGCTAAACTCCAATGGAAGCTGGAAGAAATTTGGATGAAAAAAAGTGCATGAAATCTCTGATTTTGGTGGTTTTAGTCCTACAAGGTCTCCAGTCTCAAATATACTCAGGGGTCACCCCTCAGCCCCCTTCCTACGAGCTTTCACTGCAAGCCACAGGAGGGAGGGAATTGCAACCCTACAAAGCCAAGAGCCCAAGGATGTCCCACAGAGACACCCCAGAAGGTTCCCATATGGTTGGATAAGCTGCTGGAACTGATTTCCTGGCAGCAGCCACGGTACACACTTGGAACAAACCTGTCCCAATGCATCTCACCTCCCTCCTGCGTGCCAAGCACAGCTGAGCCGTGGTCCTGCCTCAGAGCAACCCAGGAGGAGCAGATGCCAGCACTGGAGCTCATCAGCAGACCTGGAGGTGAACTGGGAACTGCTTTGGTTGGACACAGGCAAATTCTCCAGCAGATAGGAAGCCTTCTTTTATGGAGAAGAGTCTCTGCAGCACAGGGAGAGTATGGACATTGTAGGGTCTTCTGATGGGCTCCTTCCTCAAGCAAACCTGCGAAAAAGGAGATGCATCCAAGCTGCCAAATGCACTTGCAGACACAAACAGTACTTTTGGGCAGTACTTTTTGCTGTCTCAGACCCAAAGGCCTGAGTTTCATCCCTTGGAGGAGTGGTGAGCCTACTCATCAAACAAGAATGGCACCAAACAAGAATCCCACCTTTCTTGTGTCACACATATCACACGCAGGCTGGTGTTGAAGGGTGACAGAAGCACTGAACATGGAATTGCAACCAATTCCATGAGTTTTATCCTGCTTACCCCTTGCCTCTCTCTCTGTCTTCTCAAAGGCCCATCTGCAGTTCAGCCCCTAACCTTGTATGCTGCTGATGGTCATGGTGGAGATGGGAAGTGACCTCTCTGAAGCCTCTGCACAGCCTCCAGCACCGACTCTGCTTCACCCTCTTCCTCAGCCTTCCTTCCTTCTTTGCCCAAAACACAATTCCTGGGATAATAATTGCCAGACAACATGTACACAGGGAAGTTTTGTTCTTTGGCCCGATGCCACTGCTCTTTAAATTCACCTCCCTCAACAACTCCTTTCAGAGGCTTTAACTGGCCAGACAGTTTTAACCTCTTTCTTGTACTGTGCAAAGTCCACTGCTTTGATTTGCCTCGTGGGACGGGATTCATCTCACCTAATGTTTGATGTCTACCACGTTGATTGTCTGCAGCTGAGCTGGTCACCTTCTGCTCCCTTTATAGTCTGCAGAGAGAAATAAGCCCTGCCAGGACATGAGTCATCTGACCTATTTGAGATGTCTACTTTAGAATGAGATTAATCACGCTCTGGAAGCACCTGTTTTGCTCCAACTAAAGCCTGAGTCTAGACAACCAGCTCAGATGAATTCAACCTCGGTGTCTTTTTAGGTGATCATCTCCCCAGCATCAGTGGCTGTAATGAACCCTCCAGCAATTTTCTCAGTCCTGCTTTAGCCGAGCTGTACTTTGGTCCATGCTGTGTGATGGCAGCTAATGATGAGCAGTATGACCTAATGAGAGCAAGGGCTGCTGTTGTCTCCTGAAAAGAGTTTTCTGCCCTTCAGAGAAGGCGTGTGAAGGTACCAGACGAGACAGCTGCACTTGGGTACCGGACGTGGGTAGATTTGGGGGTATTTTTGTACTGCCCAGATGGTGAGGATCCTGCTCAAACAGTGCAGAACAGACATCAGAGAGCAGAAGTAACTTAAGGGTATGTTCAAACTGCAAAATGTTGAACATTCAGCTGGTGCTTTCTCTGCTTTTCCCGACAGTGCAGTCTGTCAGGGCTCAAACTGGGAAGCAGGAGGAAATCCAGAGCCCCAGAGCTCAATATGCTGTGGGGAACATCTCCTTAGACCATGGGGTGTCCCAGCCACACAGCATTGTGCTGGCCATAAACACCTACACAGACAAGCTTTTGAAGGAGCTCCAGTGTTGGAAACAAACTGCCATGTGCTGCCTTTATGTTCCCAGTCTGGATGGTGCAGAGAACAGGACACCCCAACATGCACCTACTGAGATTTCCAGTTGAAGAACTGCAGCCAACACGTGTGCTGATTAACTGGACTGAGACCTGCCCATACCTAACGCATCCAAGGCACAAGATGAAGAGCTTGGAACCACACAAATGCTCGGACATGCAGGTGTGCCCTCATTCCTTCATGGGTGTGAAGAGCTCAGGCAGCATTTGTGTCTAAATACAGTTTAACTCCAACAGTACTGAGTCTGAGCTCGCAAAAAGGCTTTGACCTCTACTTAATTAATAAAGAAGATGTATTCTTGATGTATTACTTGCTGTCAGCATCCCTGCTTTGATATAAATGAATTTAAAGGGAGAGTGAGCTACAGTAGGATCAGTGCTGGAAGCAGGATCATGGAATTTGGCTTTGGGGTCAAGTTACAGGTTTCATTATGTCATTGATTAATGAGTATCACAGAATCATAGAATGGTTTGGGTTGGAAGGGACCTTAAAGCCAATTTAGTTCTAACCCCCTGCCATGGGTAGGGACACCTTCCACGAGACCAAGTTTCTCACAGTCCTGTCCTGGCCTTGAACACTTCCAGGGATGAGGCAGCCACAGCTTCTCTGGACAACCTGTGACAGGGTCCCACCACCCTCACAGCCAAGAATTCCTTCCCAGTATCCCATCTAACCCTGCCCTCTGTCAGTTTGAAGCCATTCCTCCTCGTCCTATCACTCCATGCCCTCATCCATGGTCCCGCTCCAGCTCCCTTGGAGCCTCTTTAGGCACTGGAAGGAGGCCTAAGGTCTCCCCAGATCCTTCTCTTCTCCAGTCTGAACAACCCCATCTCAGTCTTCCTCAACCACAGGGAGAGTCTGAGCCCAGCTGAGTCTGTACTTGGTGGTTTTGACAGTCAAAAACTTGCAGAAAATCACATCTCCTCAGCTAAAAAGATAAGATCCTCACCCTAGGAGCGGAGAAGAGGACTGACGTGAAGTTTATCTGGGAAGAGATCTCACCACGTGTGAGGGGGAAATGATGGTGGCAAGAGGACTCACCACATCTTTTCCCCATCTCCCTGAGCAATTTGGAAGCAAACCTCTCACCGGTGGCATTGGACCCCTTCTTGCATCTGCTCAGGAGTGCTCCTGTTGAGTGGGCATGAGCTGTGTTAAATACACATAATTTATTGCTCTTGCAACCAGCCACGAGCAGGACGACACAGGAAATGAGGTTGAAATGCAGACACACACCCAGAGAAGTGAACTACCTCTCTCCTGGCACTCCAGGCTGTTGCTTCCTGGGGAGGAAGGGAATTTCCCCTCAAGTGCCTCACATGGGCTCGTTCTCCACTTGCAAAAACAAAGCAACATTTAACATCAGACAAAATCAGTGACTGGGAGCACAGGAGTGGGGCCAAGGGTGAGATGATGTTTTGTGATATAGTGAAGGCTTGCAGCAATCTCAGCGTTCTGGGAACAGATAGGATGGGAAAGGAGGTCTCCTTCTTATAGGAGTCACTCACCCATTTGGACAAAATATTATTTACACAGCAGGAGATGAAGAAGAGGCCGAGTCGCTTTGTCCCAGAACTTGGCTGAAGTTTCAACACAGCCCTCAATAGAAGCAAACCAGTGCTGGTGACTGAATCTTTCTCAGGAGCAATGAAATCCAAGCTAAATCAGCCAACTTGCAGTTATGCTGGTCCCCTATTTTATTTTTCATCTTTTCTTTCAGGCAGGAAGGGGGACCTGAATGTCAAAATGCAGGGAAATATGGAAGAAAAGGAGTAAGAGGGTTCAGATTGGAAGAGAGCCAGTAAATATTGTGGCCATGGGCAAGGTCTGAACCAGAATACTCTGTACTGAGCAGGAGAGACAACACTGTCCATCCTAGAGCTGCAATGATTTAATCCATCACTGAGGAAGCTGCAGAGGGGAGACAGGAGGGAAGGATGTTTTCTTTATCACAAGAACATAATCAGACAATATTTCTGAGAGAGCTCCCCTTTCTTTACCCCAGAAAGGGCTGAAGTACATCTGCTTTCTGTTCTGTTTTCCCTACTTTTATCAGAGGACTCCAAGTGAAGTTCCCTCGGGACTGACACAGCAAAGCAAGAAGCATTTGAAGATGTTTTTTTCCACTGGGAATATCTTTTAATGTCAAAAATAGGCTTTGGCCACTACCCCATCCTCTTGGGGCTCCTTCATCCACACCTACATTTGCACTTGAAGGTGCAGATTGCCTCTGTTGTGCTGACAATCAGAATGCTGGCTAACACCAGCAGTTCCTCTCAGAGCCTGTTAAACTGCTTTGTCTGAACCCAGTGAAGTTGGGCAGTCAGTCATTTCACCTCCATCAGCACCCTTTGGATCCATCCCTACGTTTCTGTGCTTTTCATGCCAGTTGAGGTGCTGCCCCTGCCTTGGGGGTGTCTGGGAGGTTTCTTTGACCTCCATCCAGGTCAGGATGCAGATGCTGTTTACCAGCTCTGAGGCTCTGCAGAAGCTGGGAACCAGTGGCTGTGTCCAGCAGTGTCCAGGTGCATGGAAATCTGCCTTCCAGCACCGTCCTCCTCCTCCACAGCCACTCCAGGCAGGAACTTTCACTGCATTAATTAGTCACTGTTTGCTCTCTCCAGGTCTTGCGTTATCACTGGAATACTCATCTAAATCATCTAAATCTGATGGCCAAACAAATTAAAACTAATGAGGCCATTAGGGTCACATTAACAAACAAGGAATACGGGAGAGCTTCTGGAGGAGGTTTTGCTGCCAGACTGGGCACGTGCAGCCAGCAAAGCCTGATTTCCAAACAGCCTTGGAGAGAACGGGAACAGATGAACGAGATGCAGGGATCATCCAGTACCAAATCTGGGATGTGGCAGGACAAGGTTCCCTGCTGCCTCCTGGGGCGTTTGATAATGGCAAACGTGGTGGGAGCAGCAGGTTTGGATTTGAGTGGATGGAGAGAATTTGGCACGTCAGGGATTCTTGTCCCAGTTCCCTACACGAGCCACTTGACCTCTGCTGGTGAATGGATCTGGTGCTTCAACAGAGACTTCAGGCAGAAGGTCATCTGACTAATTCCTGTGCAGGTGGTTACCCAGTCATGAAGCCAAGGAAGCAGAGGGAATGGGATGTGAAGCCAGATGCATCCTCTCACTTCCTTGTCTTTGCCTACAGAGAGGATGCAAAGCATTCCTGCTGGCCCAGGAGCCCACTCAGAGGGAGGCTCTTGGAAGAGCCAAATTCGATGGGAAGATAATACCTACAGAAGAAATACGACTGGTACAGAAGTGGGGATGGCTCCTCTAAGGGGATAACAGGCCACAATAGAAAGCTCATCCATACTGAGATCCATCC